ACATATACACACTCATTGTCACATTTTTTTCTCTGTGAGTTATAACATTTTGTGTATATTTCCCTGTGCTATACAGTGTAATCTTGTTTATCTATTCTATAATTTTGAAATCCCAGTCTATCCCTTCCCACCCTCCACCCTCTTAACAAAATCTTTCAAGTGACAACTCAGTATGTTCAACATTAGCACAGTGATCTCTGGAACTTACTCACCTTGTGTGACTGAACCGTTACGGCCTTTGATCAGCATCTCGCCTGGCAACACGGTTCCTCTCTGATTCTGTGGGCGTGATGATTTTAGATCCTTAATACAAGTGGCGTCATGGAGAGTTCGTCTTTCTATGACTGGCTTATTTCACTTAGCATGATGTGATCCATGTTGTCACAAACGGCAGGATGTTTTTTTTAACAGAGTGAATAATATGCCATTGTATGTTCACGCCATACACCCATTCACCCATCAACGGACATTTGGATGTTTCCGTATCTTGGCTATTGCGTGGTCCTTCAGTAGCACTTACAGGCATTTATCCAAAAGAATTGAAATCAAGATCTCAGAAAGACACTAGCACGCCCATGTCCATTGCAGCAAGCCAGCATTTTGAGCCTGGGCGGTGCTGGAACTTTGCAGCCCTCGTAGTGCGGCCCCCTTGTCCTCTCACAGCTTTCCTAATCCCAGCTCATTTAATTTGTGCTAAAAAGCTTTTTTTTTTCAAAGAACGTGTAAAAAGGCTGAGCTGTGTGTAAGAACTCTGAGAAAGCAGAGAGGAACTGTTAATGAAACATCAGAGGGGGTGGAAGCCCCCGTGCCCGAGGAGGGCAGAGACCTCCGAGGGGAGAGGAGGGTGCATGTCGGCTCGTCACTTGGAGGCTCAGGGTCTGGACCGTCAGCCGTGTGTCGCAGTCAGGGAAGAGCCTGGCCTGGGAAACGCGTCTGCACTGCGAGCTCTGCCAAGCTCGGTCCTACCCAGAATTCCTCTCTCTTTCTTATTTTTCGAAAGAAGAGACTCTCTTCCGTGGGCTTGGCTTCTCCTCCATCACCACCAACGAGCCTCAGGGACAGGCTTTTGGGAAAATCGCACTTGTCTTTTGGCACAAAACTCTGGGCTGCTCTCGACCACATTTGAGCCTTGTTTAATTAAGTGCGGTCCCTGAGCTGAGTGAGAGTTTTAATTATATTCAAAACAGCTTTTAAAGAATGAATAAATGAACGAATAAACAATACAACAAGTAAATAACTGTGAAAGCTTGGAGACGTATTTCCAGAATTCCTCGACACTCCTTCGCAGGGGGATCGAGTAGCGTGCCCGCCCCTCCAATGGGGGTCAGTAGAATGCAGAGCGGGGATGTCTGGTTTCTCGGCTCAGCCTTCAAGAAACTAGTAACTTGAAGTACTTTCTGCCTCTTGGGAAATTTAGTCAAGGACCCAGTGCCATTCTGTGAGGAAGCTAAAGCCGTCTGGCGGAGATGGCCATGCGGAGAGGACCCCAGAGGCAGCACCAACCTGCCAGCTCTGTGATGTGCCATCTTGGAAGCAGATCCAGCTGAGCTGGGTCGAGCGAGGCCACGTGGAGTGGAGCCCAGCTTCCCTGCTGAGCCCTGCCCAGCAAAGGAGTGAGGGAGATAAATAAGGGAGTTGTTCTGAGGCACGGTGCTTGGGGGTCATTTTTCTGCAGCAAGAGTGAACTAAATCCGACTTATAAGTGTTATGACATTGAATGATGTAAGCCACAGATATTTCCACATCTCCTGTCACTGGAGTGCAGCCTCCATGGCCTTGGTAGTCAGATACAGGCCAAGATTAGAACCCCAGGCTCCTTATCTGTAAAGAAAGCTGTGTCCTTACGCGCACGTCTGAAGATGAAGGTGGAGATGCAATGTGCCTAGGTGTTTGCTTCCTTTTGTCTTCCTGAACCCCTCTCCCCTACTTCCTAGAAATGACTGATTTTTGTTTGCTTTGCTTTGGTTTCAGAAGTGATCTGGATAAATAAGAACGTGGAGAGAGTCACTGTCTGAGACGAGGAAAGGGAGACTTAGAGCTCAGGGAGGGGAGAGAGACGGTCTTTCCTACAGTTCAGACTTTTTATAAAAACAATTTGCATGTATCACTGTTCAACAGAAGGAAACAAGAATAAAAATGTTTTGACAGAAGTGACCTAGAGATGGAATAAAATTCACTTTCCACAGCGAAATGAATATCTAAGAAGGGCGGGTCCTGAGTCACTTGTTTCCCCCATTTGTTTTTCAAAGAGCCCTAACAAGGAGGAGCGCTGGCCCTGGTGATGGGGAATGCACACGCTGCTGGACGCCCAGTCTGCGCTTGGCCTTTAAAGGCTCGAGCTGTGAGCATCTTGTCCCTCTCAGGCTGTGACACGAGTCTCAGCTGCGGTGGGTGGAGCAGGCGCACCAGGACTCAGACGGCTGATAAAGAAAAATCTCGGAGCCAGGCTCCTCGTGAGCTGGGAGTGCTGCTGGTCTTTGGCAGAAGGAGATGAGTGAGGACGGGCTTTCCTGCCTGGCCGCTCCCAGCTCACCCTCTTCGTCTTCCTCTGTCAGTGTCCAGGCAATCGGCAGGAGGCCCGGGTCAGTGTCTTATAGCAGGATCACATCCTGGAAGACAGGAGGACCTCCCTGCCACTGTCACACCTGGATCCTTAAACATTTCCTAAACATTCCGGTTCGCCATCTCTCCAAAGAGGGGCGTTTTGAACACAAGCACCACGCGGATCCTTTCTCCCGTGGGAGGGACTCATGAGTGAGAGTCAGTGCCGGCTTCTCCCCACCCCACAGACAGGGCCCGTCTCACCTGGGATAGGCTGTGTGATGTGAGCACTGAGGTACGAGGTGTGGAGGGATCTGTCTGATCTGCAAACTTTGGTGTCTGTCTGGAATGCAACATCCCCCAAAGGCAGTGTCAGGAGTTCCAGTGCTGGGGTGCAGGTGGCGGTTACCAGGTGGAGAGGTCCTGTGGACAGATTTGCCTGGGAGACCCCAGAACTTAACAGGTCTCTTTGCTGTGGGATTTGTCAGAGACTTTAAGGTTCAGTGGGACTTTCCAAGAGGTGTATCATGTATCATATTCATGTTGTTCCAAACTTTCATGACCAATTGCTGGGAGGAGCTTGGAAGACTAGGGCCATGTGGGTATCAGTTGGGAAGTCTTGACATCTAGGATCTGAGATGTTATTAAGTTTTTTAAAAAGTCAAAAAGAAGCTCATATTCACTTTTATCTTCGCATGGACCTTCTTCACTACTCTCCTCACTGCTCTCAGGGGATCCTGCTCCCTCCTTTCTGTGTCACCCAAGCACGGTGCGTCTTCCCCTCTGGGGAGGGCCCTCGTCTGACTGAACCGCCCCTCCACCAGCCCCTTCATCAACGATTTTCTCCCTTGAGTCTCACTGCGTCACAGCCTGGTCCTTCTGGCCGATCCCTCCCTAAGACTTGGAAGATGTCTGTCACCCTGGTGAGGTGGGGACCTTGGTACCTCTGCATCTACTCATGCCTTTTTTGGATCTACCGACGTGCGGCTCGCAGGTACACCTTTTCTCCTCCATGGACACAGGGGTTCAGGAATTTATAAATCTCTTTCTGGTTTGTGGTTCTGTTTTTTTATTTTTATTTTTTGTGGTGGGGAGGTAATTAGGTTTGTTTATTGTTTATTTATTTATTTGTGGAGGTGCTGGGGATTGAACCCAGGACCTCGTGCATGCTAAGCACACACTCTGCCACTGAGCTATACCCTCCCCTTTTATAAGTCTCTTTCTGTAAAGGGCCAGATTGTAAATGCTTTCGGCTTTGCTGGCCATCTGGTCTCTGTTGCAACTACTCAGCTCTGTGAGTGCAGCCTGAAAACAGCCACAGACAGTGGGGAAGGGAGTGGCTTAGGGTTTGCCAACCCTTGCTCTAGAGTGTATCATGGGTTTCCTGGGGGCCCTTGAGCAGTCACCAAATTATCATCCTTCCTTCCAGCCACAAAGCTGGATTATGAGCTACAGAAGTTGATTTACATTTCATTTCACCCAAGGATTGAACTTGTGCCTGAACAGGAACCTTAATGCACGGGGCCTGGACTCCCTGCTGGCCATTCAGGGCCATGAGCGGAAATGGACGGGGAGGAGACTTGGACACAATGTCATGACTAACACTTAGGACTGCCCATCAGTGATGGTCCATTCGGGAGTCAGCGCGTGAGAGGTGAGTACCCTGACTTTGGGGTCACCAGGCACTGGCTCCAGGCTACTTGGTTCTGGAAGTCGTGGATAGGTTTTGATGGGCTCTGAGGCATTTTAGGGTGTTCCCCATGCCTGCCCTTTTGAAGTGGACTCAGAGCCTGGCTTCCCTTGTCCTCACTCCCATCCGCCCTTCTGTCTGGACCTGTCCCCAGGCTGCTGCTGCTGGGTGTGTAGGTGCTGCGGTTTGCCTGGCCCAGCGCTAGCTCGCCTTATCCGGTTCCCTCTGCCAGATCAAATAGGAACGATGCCTGTTGGAAAAATGAGCTGAAGCCGGGACTATGACGTTGAGCTATTGAATTGCTCTGATGGACTCCAGAGCCTGATACAGCCACACCTGGCAGCCACAGCCTCAGCGTTGTCTGGCTGCTCATCACCTTTGCAGTGACTGTTAACAGGATACTTCCTGCTCCAGGGTCTATGGCTGTAAACGCTGCCCCCCTGCACCCCTAGCAAATGCACGTGAGACGGGCTGGAGGCGTGCTGGAGCCGTGCTAGGTGCGGAGCTCTTCTCCTCTCTCCCTGACCCTTCAGGCCATGTCTGCTCTGTGTTTGCCATTCTAGCACATCCAAGCATCCCAGGCTGCTGACATCAACAGACTGGGCCCAAAAGGCAACAGTTGTCCCTAGAAGGGTGTCAGGACTTGAAGGGTGTGCGTTTTTACCCTACTGGTGAGCTCACACATTAGCTGCAGTTTCCTGGAGGCTGATAGAAGACACAGTACTCCTGGCTCTGAGACGAAGGAGTTCACTGAGCGCGGCAGAGCAGGTACCATTGGTCCCAGTGGGCATGAGGCAGGTGGGCCTGGGTGGGTACCTGTCCACACAGGAGGAGTGTTACAGCTGTGGAAGCTTGAGCTCAGGGCACTTGAAGGTTTTAGTAATGGTAGTCAGCATGCCTGCCCTTTGCTCTGGAAGGAGAGACTTTGCACAGAGCGTTTCTCAGCCTAGGCACCAGGGATATGTTGGGCTGAAAATTCTTTGTTGTTGGGGGCTTTCCTCCGCATTGTAGGGTGTTTGGCAGCATCCGTGGCCTCTACTCACCAGATGCTGTTGGCATCCCCACCCCAATGATAAACAGCAAAGATGTCTCCAGACTTTGCCAAATGTCCACTGAGGGGCAATCCAACCATTTCTCTATAGTGGGCACAAACATGTATTCACTACTTAAACACCCTCAAGAAGAAAGAGCAGCCTTAAAGCAAAGGGCAGGTGAGTGTTGCGTTGCCTGGGCTGGTCTGGAAGGCAGTGATGCTCAGTGTCTGGTCAGGGTGTAGGAGAGATCTGTAAGATACCTCATGAGCTATACACCCAGCCTCAGATAAGACATTGTTTTTGATGAAAGGAAGGTCATTCAGTAGACTTTTAACATTTGATTAAGGCCTACTTACCAGTACCCTATGAAGTTACTAAGGGCCAATAAAATCAGATTTTTAAACCAGAGATACACCAAACTACAACACACCTAGAGTTGAAACTCAACCATCAGCTGAGTATTGCCATTGCAGAATAAATGTCTAGGACATAAGAATAAATCTAAATTTTATTTTAAAAAGTGATCACTATTTTCTGGTGGTCAGATTCTAAGTCTGATAGATTGCTTTTATGGTCATCCTACTGTGTACATTTGTGACGGAAAATATTTGCTTAATTTCTGCTGAAGAAGTTAGAGCATATGTGTGACCAGCATGAGGTGCTGAGGCCACGGCCACTGAGATGAAGGTGGTTTGGTGGTCCAGCCACTGAAGGTGATATTGCCAGCATTATATTTTGTGATAGTAAATGTAAATTTATACTTCAGCTGATTGACAAATGTTAACATATAAAAAAATTAGAGGATTTTCACTCCAACTTATATCTTTAATACATAATTTTGAAAGTCAATGTTTAGACGTGGACAATAAACCCAAGTGAACTGATTTGTCCAAAGTGCTGGCAATCTTATGCTGACTGGACATGAGGGCAGCCTATGAATCACGTGACTGTCGAGCAGTCACAATTAGGGGGCCAGCAATGACCTGGATGCAGGCATTTGGCTGATTTCCATTCTAAAGGCCAAACATGAGTCAAATAGCAGATTTTGACTAAACATTGATTCTTCAACCTAGTTTACTGAGGATTAATTCAGATTATCCTGAGAAATCTGGCTCATCTACAAAACTGGGCACCATGGCCAATTTCCTACTGCAGATAAAACATGAAAGGCAGATGCTACGTTCTTTCACAGCTCTTGACTTTCTCATTTTCACTGGCTGTTCTTCTTGACTTTAATGATAAACTACTATTAATTCAGCCTTACCATTACTAATATAAGTTTTTCCCTATAATTCTATCTGTTGACATGTAACTATTCACTGTTGTCATTTGAATTAATTATATTTTTAATTTTATTTTCACTATGTACAAAATAGAAAAGAACTTTAATACACATTCAGGAAGCATTCTGTTTAGTAAAACAAAAGCAATCTAAAAGACAAATGAGCAAAGAATCGTGGAGAGACAATTCACAAGTTTGGTTTTCATGGTGTTTCATCAGGATTAGACTCAGGCCATGCATTTTTGGCAGGAATTCTGCAGAGCTGCCCCTGTACCCTCAGAGCATCACACCAGGTTGGCTTGGGAATTTGTTCCATCACTGACAATGTTAACATTGATTATTTGGCTTAGCTGATATTCACCAGATTTCTGCACTATATAATGTTGTCATTTGAATTAATTACATTTTTTCCCTAAAATCGAGTATGGAAACTTAAGGCCACATGCACTGTGGTTTAAATATGATTCTCTACCATTCCCTTGACTGTGAGATGCCAAGACATTTGGTCAAACATTATCCTGAATGTGTCTGTGAGGTTGTTTTTGGATGTGATTAACATGTGAATAGGTAGACTGAGTAAAGCAGATTGCCCTCGTTAATGTGAGTGATCCTCATCCAAGCTCTTGAAGGCTGAATAGCACGAAATGGTTCAGTAAGAGGGAAATTCACCTGCCTGCCTTTTGGAGCTGGACATTGAATTTCTCCTGCCCTGGGACTGGAATCTACACCATCAGCTCTTCTTGTTCTCAGGTCTTCAGACTTGGACTGAAGCTACACCACTGGCTTTCCTGGGTCTCCAGCTTGTTGACTACAGGTTGTGGGATTTCACTGCCTCCATAATCACACGAACCTATTTTTGTAACAAATCATCTCTCTCTCTCTCCCTATTGGATCAGTTTCTCTGGAGAACTAATAAAGGGGACTATCTCATAAAAAACAGAAGCGAGGGAGTGAGCATGTGTTTCAGTGAAAAGAGAACCATCAGTTAAGTTCTTACTGTGCAGGTTACTACCGAGAAAAGCTGGACGAGACCTTAGGAATCGTGTTTCGGAGTTGTTTTGCTGGAGGACTGTGATGCTTGAACTTTATCCACGGATTCCCTTCTCCCAAGGGTTGTCCTGGGACACTGATTTCCCCACTTTCAAGTCATGTCTGGGTGTAGCTCAGTGCCTTCTGGGACTTTGGGATGCTGAGAGACCAGCGCTCCTAGCCTGGGAGCTGTTGTCACGCGGTGTGGAGCTGTCCACCACGTGGTGCTGAAGTTTCGCGGGCTGGGAGGAAGTGGTGGGTTGTCCTCCCCGAGGATCTACTCCCACACAAGTGTAGTAAAACTGCTGGTTATTTTTAAGATTATGGGACATAGTTTTATATTACATGGAAAGCTCCATGGGAACACAGGTTTTTAAAATTTTGTGTATAGATGCATCTTTAATGCCTGATACATAAAGAAAACACTGTATTTTTGTTGAATGAATAAATATAAACTCAGGCATATGAGCTCACATTGCCTTCTTATAATGAGGATTTTCTGTATGTTGCTGAGACATTTTCTATATGTTTTCTATATGTTACTGCAACAGTTCTTTCCTCCCCAGTTCTTTGTCATCTGATTTATTTTCTCCTTGAAAAAGAAAGGTAGGAAAGGTGGGCTTCTGGTTCTTCTGCCCACCTGCAAGCAACTGCTCTGATCCAGTCCCAACAGCAGTTCCAATGCTGAGCTCTGGCATGACGGTTTTTGTCCAGAGTTGGTGATCTTAGGACTGAGGCAAAGAGATGAAGAACAAGAGGGGATCATCGCTGGAAAGGCTGACCAAGGGCAGTGGGGAGCTGCTTTCTTTATATATTTGAGTGACAAGGGCTTGGATGCTACCTTTTACAACCCATTTTGTGATAAGCAGCATCTGTAAAGCTTAATCAGGACATGGATTGGAGTGGCTTTGCCTTGTTTTTAACCTTCACTACTCTTTCTCCCTTGGGTTGTGAATGGAAATCTTTCAGTGCACTGGCCAATGGGATACAAACACATCCTTTTCCAGGAGAGGATTCTGTGTAAGCTTAAAGGAGTTTATTAAATTAGTATGTGGGATATGATTTCATCCAAGTAATAAAAGCTGCAGCTGCCTGAAAAGAAATGGTGTTCAGTCTTCAGTTCTCCCACACAGGTGCTCTGTGCTAGAGATGCCTGGCTCTGAGAGGGCCTTCCTCGGGAAGGGTAATCAGCAAGGAGACAAATGAGCGTTCCTGACTTCCATACTGTACATGTCGGCTCGTCACCAGCAGAGGTTGGAAGTCATGGATTTCATTACCGCAGTGCATTAAGGGCCAAGGGAAAAAAAATCCAATTTGCTACTGCCTCAGTGACTTTGTGTTTTAATCAAATGGATAGGAAAGAATCATTAACTGATGCTCAGACTGATTAAAATTCCAGGGAGAAGGAAAAG